TGGTGTGTTTCACATATATATATATATATATATATATATATATACCTGAGTAACAGACCATTCTCACACCGCTCCTCAGTGGACTTCGGTATTCCTGGCTGAGTATTTTGTTGTGTGGCTGTTTTCACGGCATGATGTACGAATATATGGAAATTTAGTAATTACTAGCAGTGCAGATTGATAGAGTACGTGTATGATTCGCAAGCTTTCCTTCTTGGAATGGTTTTACGTCTCACCGTGGCCGATTGACGAATACCGTAGAAAAAGACAGACCGTCACTACCTCCAGCATGGTCATCTAAACCTAAGAATTTAACATTCCCATAAGAGAACCCAGGTAACAATAAGAGATTGCTAGAAGTCTTCTCGATTTTTGAAGGAATCGAGTTGTAATGCAGACTTTTATTTGTATTGTCTATGATGACGAACAGTAAACTCCCTGGCACGGATTTTTCAGGTCTTCCAGCAAAAAGTCTAGCTGGGCCAGCAATATTCCAGTTAAGTGGAAAGTACGTTGGGCTAAGAATCACCGATGAAGAAAAGCTACGTACGTATCGATATAGTTGGATAATCCCGTTTTGGGTTCGCCTTATAATGTGAGGAATGGTCAGCCGAAAAGGTTCAGAGAAGGTTATGGATTATCGCTTAATGGATGGATATGTGAATCTACCTCCCTTGCTGTTTAGTTTGTGGATTTCCTATGTGGTTTTAGTTATTGCGGGACACTTCTTCTTCACATTTGAGTGAATTCCCTTGTGATGAAAGAAAAGACACAACCTTCAAGTAAAGTCATAAATTTCTTTATTAGTTCGTATTCACTAAAACATAATGCTGTAGGTTGAGAATTATTATAGGCAGCATAAAACTGTTCAGTAAACACATACATATGAAAACGTACACATACATTCAGATATGTATATACATTCTAAAATGCATGTATGCGTACATACACGCAAACGCATGCATATATATACATGTATATATACGTATACATATATATATATATATATACGTGTAGAGTTTTGCTGCTCACCTAGCGTCAAAATGGAAATTCTAATAATAAGCTGATAGTTGTACTCCTTGCGCGTCATATTGAGTGAATTGGTCGTAGCGAACTTTATGACTACGACTATTTTTTAGTCGTAACTGATACTGTGCTGCTTCTCTTTATTTACTTCTTCGTCATTCTTCTTTCTTTCGTTTTTTGTAACCAATCGCCAGTTTGTACATCATAGAGCATCACGAGTGCAACAGCAGTGATATCCGAGCAAAAGAAATAGCAGATTCCTACAGGCTCTGGATGCGCTTATGAAAAGGTTCGGAGTGGTGATGAAGTTAAGGCCAATGATCGATAAATCACCAGATCAATATTATTTACACAACAAAAATCACTTTAAAAAGTGTGGAAAAGGAGGAAGAGAGAGTTTCATTGCTGAACATCATTGATCCGCAGACTAATCGATATTGGTAGGCATCAATACTGCAGAAAAGTAACACCGAACTGAAGAATCCGTACTCAAAATTCGTATGAGAATATGCTAACAATAGTGAAAACAACAGTTTACTGCTTACGTAAAGCAATCTAACAAAAAAAAACCATTATAGCGCCAACGCCCACAGAAGACGTGAGGACGTGTCAGGTGGGATTACATCGATATGGTTCCATGATCTTAAGACAGACATTGCTATGTTCTATCTATCGTATACTAACCGATTATTCGTCTAGCAGGGACATCGATCTGAGAAATCATATTGGCTTGTGAAAGGAGTTATGATCTCTTGGAACGACGCTGGTCTAAAAAAGGAATGTTGATGTGAGAAAGACCTTGCAGTAGGAAAATATCTCTGGAAAGTGTTGTTGACGTCCTAAAGGATTTACTCTGGGAAAGGGTATAGATCTCGGAAGAATTTTAGTCCAGCTGGAGCAGTGCTTTGAAAATGGTTCTGGGTGCCTTTCTTGAAAAGAGCATATACATAATACACTCACTTCATGGCAGTTTCCATTGAAATCATCCTCCAGAAAAGTAGGAATTTCAGCCTATATTAATTCTATCACTGCCACTAAGTTCCAAGAATAAGAAAATAACTGGGTCCTTCTATATGAGGCACTCTGGACTATCAAAGATCAGAAACTCAAGGCATCGCTATCAAATGACGTTGAGTGTCGATGACGACATGAAACGCGGTCATCGCCGACTTTCGTCCAAGGATCGTAATCAGATCAACGACACTTGAGCTCATAAGTAAACTAGAGAAATCTATTATAGCCAAGATTGATATTTCTGGACTCTTACATCAGATCCTGAGCACCCTACAGGAAAAAATATACTGCATCTCCTAAAAGTTGGTTTTTTCAGTTGTATCAGCGACAGATCAAAGTTGCTTAGAAAAAAAATGATCAAACTATGGGGCGATATTCCCCTGTAGAAAATACTTCGACACTGTTGTTATCAATATGTACCGGGATGTCGGATATGTTAATCTCTAACTGAATAGTTCAGTAAAAGTGGCTACGAATCGAATCACGTATATCGAGATCTTGAGCCTAATCTTGTCGAGTTTTGTATGCACATCTTCCTATAGAAGAAACAGGCCGTGAACAGAGATAGGAGAACGGCAAAGAATAACGTGCTGAACAGGAGAACGACGAACGCCAGCACTGAATTCGGCACCCAGACACCGTCATTGTCATATGACTCTAAAAACGATTCAACATTTTCTGTAATGAAGATAAGAAAAGAAAGAAACTTTCGCCAATGTTGCTAACCGTTGGGATACCGTCGATCCGACGTCAATGCGTCTAATTCCACTTTAACACTATCGAAAAGTCGTAACTCGCTTTCTGAAGATGTCTGTCGAACAGCTCGGCGTACAGCTGGGCATATCTCCTAAAAGAAATTTAAAGTCGTCCAATACTTCGACGTTTCTAAATTTCAACAAGAATAAAGCTCTCGGCATTCACCAATCGCTGAAGGTTGCATTCGACTTCATCAAGGGTCTCCCTCCAGGCAGGTCTGATACCAATTTTCCCAACCCGGAAGGTTGGAAGCCTTGGTGAGTCAGCGGCGCATTATTGGATCTACATGTATTGCAGATTACCTCTAGCCACTGCGCTACACGCGCAACGCGCACTAAATTTCACATCGACTAAATTCGTTTTTAAAGTTGATACTAATTTTAATACTTCCACTAAACCAGGATATTGTTCAGCTCCACTTCTATTTTTCGAAATTCGTTTCCCATATTATTTAGTGACCAACGATGCGTGTAGTACACTGTTATAGGTCCCATAAAATACACATTTGGCCGTTAGCTCGATATTATTTATACCTTAAGCAAACAAAAAGAAAAAAGAAAGTCTCCAGAATCTTAAGCCATCTTAGGCGTTTTTAAACAATTATTGTTGTAGAGGTAAAAATTCTTTCTTACCGGAGCGTTTCGAAATGGTGTCAGATCAATAGAACATGAGAAATAGACGTCATCTGGGCCAGGAAATTTGAAAGCTGTTATGCGAATGAAGTAGTACATGAGGCCGTTGGAGTCCCTTGTCCTTTTCATTTGTGACGAGAATTGCGGACGGGTAGCACATCTGAACATCAAAATAAACTAATTAATCAACTTATGTAAGAGAATATTTGAATTCGTACTAAAGCAAAGTATAATGAAAAAAGAAGACACTGGTGGACCACTTTTGTTTGAAATCACGCCTTTTCGATAATGACTGAGTTAGAGGGCAGATCGCATTCATTCCTGAATAGTAGAACGAACGCAGTTCCAACTAGAACAACATCGTACTGTTTGGAGAAGATGTTTTTTCTTGTGGCAAATCCCAAAACCGATTTTCCTTCCACCTCAGCATTGGTCAATAATTCACTGTTTTTCTCGGGCAAACATGAGGCTGTTATTACAGCATGTATCCCTTCTTTAATGAGCTTACACGAGGTTGATAAAGATGTTTTTTTCCGCTAACGTTTCAACGTCTTCGTCTTCATCAGAGCCGATAATCCCAGTCGATGGTTCACGCTTGTCATTCATCTCGATGTGGCATCTTCGCCTCCGTGTCGAGTCACGTCTTCCTCAGCGGGACATCTCCTCGAATGAGTCATACTCACTAGGTGATGCCCTTTTATGCATGATGCTGATGGTTGATAGCTGTGATAGTCTGATAATAGTAACTTGTTTTCTCCAGACAATCAATGGACCATTGATTCCGATTGATAAAACTTAACACTTAAATTTTCATTCGCGTGATAAACAGCTTTATTTTTTATGAACAAAGTACTCAGATAGTCGTTTTAGACGTTTTCGAACCCTTGTAGATCACCGATCACCGCAGATAGTCTAACGTCTGTGAATCGAATAGAACTTGCTTCCTTGTGACTACATTCGTACGGAAAGGATCCGCTAGACAGATCTGGTTAAGTAGGGCGACAAATGAAGACGAACAGGTGATGTAAAGGTAGGTGAACACCGGCGAGAAGAAAAAAAAATGTGAATGGAAGAAAAAATTACTATCAGTAAAAGAAATCACTCAAACAGGTACCCATTCTTGTCGACAAGTTCAATTTTCGCCTTTCCTTCTCCATCTGATGCGGAACACGAGTGCACAAATATGTCGTAGTCGTTTTCACCTTAAAAAGACCTTATTGTTGCCCAAGCATTCTTGTTGTTTTGCAGTTAACTCTCACGATTGGTTAGAAACCGATTCAATAATTTAGCTATTCCTAAAAATTTCTGCTAAAAATAGAAAAGCAAAACAGTCGGGATTGTATGTATCACAATATCAGTCCATGGATGAGTGATGCTGGGAGCTGAGACGATGCTTGTTCCTACTGTTCGCCAACATGAGGGACATTCCCCTCAGGAGTGGCAGCCAGTGACATTTGAGAAGTCTGTGTTTCTGCCCGACTATTCATTCAAGCACTAGCATTTCAGATGTCTGACATGGGAAAATCCTCTATGGTAGATGCTATTATGAAACTGAGACAAGTGCTATCATTGAAACACTCTCACACTGTCGATTTCTTTGCTAAAATCAAACAAGGGTTTCCAAAGTGTATGGTTCAATTCCCATGCACTCTCCTTTTTATCTCATACTTTGCCGTTCTTCCTTCGCATGCAGCACTTGGATGTCTCTCCAATTTCCGAATACTTTCCGTTCTACCTTAGAGTTATGTTCTTGAATTTACTTGATATTTGATACTTGAATAGCCCGTCCTCGCTGGTTGTGCGGACTCCAGCATAATCTCCATTCTTCGGAGATTTGCTGGTTAAGCCATTATGATTCCCTGGAGTCCCGAGGTCAGCCTGGCCAAAGTCTGCCCCAAGTCTTCACCACCACAGACGGTCGCAGTCTTTGTGGATTACTTGGAGATTTACCACCATGCGACTTTGATACCAGGACGGTGGTGGATCCTGGTATTGGTTCACTCTTAGCTAGGCTTCCTAATGGAAACGTTCATGAATTTAATCAGAACAAAACAAGAAATGCATAACTATGCGAAAATAAGTTGAGATAAGACAGTTGTTAAACTAAGAATAAACGTCTGCTCAAAAAGAAACAGGAATCACAATGTCAGCCTTTTATTTTTTGCCTACTAATTTTTCACGCTGAGGTCGCGTGTGGCGCAGTGGTCGGAGGTGCCTTGAAACACATACGTAGAATCGATACATGCGTCCATGGCTCACCAAACCTTCCATCCTCCAGGTTAGGAAAATCGGAACCAGAGTTGTCTGAAGGGATAGTAGCACTGGATCGATACATCGGTAGGCCACCGCGAGTCATCGTAAAAGGCCAGATATGCATTCAAAATTGTAATACGCCAGATATGCATTCAATCACCTCTAAACGATGCTTAATGAAGTCCAATGCATGGCGCATCCCTAAGGGATTGTTTAACGCCGACAGCTTTATCTTTTAATCCTTTCATAATATTTCACGGCAGGGTATGATGTGAGTTACAGCCACAAGGATGCTGATATATTCGCAAAACTTGGACCCAGGGCCAAATCGAACCACGATTTCCCTTTGCGGGGGCTCGCGCATTAAATTCTGCGCCACGGATACCCTTGTTCTGCGTTTTTCTCAGCTAGTATTCTACTTTACTCGAATATAATACGCGAGCCCTCGGAAAGAGAAATCGTGGTTCGATCTCGCCTGGTGTCCAAGTATTGCTAATATCTCAGCATCGTTGTGGCTGAAACAAAAATCGTTTACAAATTCGAGTGTGAGACTGAAAGCATCGGATTAAAAGTTACATTTATTGCCTTACCATCGCTAACGTTTCTTATAACCACTATTTCATTATTATTAAGCTAAACAATAAATGTATACCTTTCATGTGACTTTTCGACCGTACCACTAAACTGATGTTATCGCCGATTTTCACTGGTGAGCTGACAGTTGGCGCATATGGTCCGACACCGTATTGAATTTCTAGTGAGAGCTCTTCCGGTGGGGCGAGGTATTCCTGACTAGATAGAAGACGCGCTGTCACTACACTAAACATTTTCACGGTTAGTTCTAGGTTGACTGCAAACGAACGAAATTAACTTTTTGTGTTTTTATCCTTATATTAGAGGGTGCGTAAAACGCAGTGGCCGGAGGCGCTCTGCAATACTCACGGAATCGATCCTACGCCCCCCGGCTGACCAAGCTCTCCATCCCTTCGTGGTTGGATAATTTGTACCAGACCTGTATGGGAGGATAACAACACACTTCTTCTTTGTTCAAACACTTCGTATCATAAAGCAAAGGAAGTTAACAGGGCTCACCGGCTTCACTGAGATATGTCCCAATTAGAATACAGATAGAAATTCTTTTAAGCAAAACCCGTTAAGTAGTCACATAGATAGCAAATTCCACCCGGTGACCAACTAGTCAGTACAGAAATCGGTGTTAAGTATCACTTCAATGAGTTTTCATTGTATTACAAACTCTAGAAGGATGAAAATCTTGTTTGGAGAGCGATTTCACCGAAACAGGGATACTGTGAGTGCGAGCAGTGCATCATGGCCTGCTATACAAAGACTGTTAAATAATGTCTTCTTAAGAGGCGAAATATTTAGCGATGATTAATCCCTCAAAGATAGCTCATGAAGCACCGACTTCATTAAGCATCGTGCAGACAACTGAAAGCGTTTTTGGCCTACGTAATGAAATGACTTGTCGTGATCTGTCGACGTTTCAAGTCAATATTTTTACAATCTCAAGCATGTGTGGAAGTAATTTTCTCACCCAGAAAAGATAGAGGGTTTGCTTAGCACAGAGTGCGGAATCGAACCAATGACCGATCCGGTGTGTAGTGTAGAGCACTTCTAAGTACTGCGCTACACAAGCAACGAAGTATTATCAAATATCGAAATTGATAAGCGATAATTTATTCACGTTCTCAAGGCAAACTCACTCTTCACTTTGTGCCAATTTGTCGCTAGTGTCTGTCTCGAATTCCAATCCAACTCCTGGCAGCAGCTCTTTGAAAACTTTTGCTTTCCCCCATGATTGGCTCAGTGATTTGTCGAATTTCATGACTGTGGTATTTGACGAATTATTGAAGATTCGCAAAGCGGAATCGCGGTGCTTAGTTGCATAAGAAATTGGCTTATTCCATGGAAATGCAGAAACCTGTAAAAATGAATCTATCGAAATTACGAAATTAAATTAATCTTTTCCTTTTACGAAAAAACCTCTATGATAAGCATATCTCCATAGACCCCATAAACAGACCTTCGTCATGGTTTCTTGATCAGCTGGTTTTCTTCCATTAAGAACAGCTGGCTGTGGTAGCACATAAGACGATGTCATCGCTTCGTCGGCTATCGATGGTGTGCGAGATGAGACAGGATTTCCGAAGATTTGAGCGGAAGCGTATGAAATACCATGATGCGTGTCGTCGGTTTTAGTTCGTTGCGATGCAATAGGTTGAACCACTGGAGATAGGAATGGATTCTTTGGAGTTGTCATCGATAAGTGTAGAGCACCAACTCTTCGGTAAGCATTCTGACTTGTTCCACCACCGACTTCTGAGAGGGCGATCGCTGGTACGCGATTCTCTGAAATTTAACGATATCTATTGATTCGAGTTTGTTAGACCATATAAGGAATCTACTCGTTTGAATGTGCAGATTATCATCTAATGGCTCAGAGTTTGCTGTTACTTTTCCATTTTTGACATTGTGAGTACATGAAAACGAGTAGGATGTATTCATTACCTACACTTGCAAGAAATAGCAATAGTTTCTAATAACAAAGAGATATGAATCTGAAGAAAACAATCGTTCACATCAGTTTTATCTAGGCAAAGGTGTAAGTCGCCTTTCTTATCAGGAAGACTGGCCAGAAGTAAGTTTATACGAAAAATCGGAGCCTTGATGAACGAAGCCTGTGGAGACAGCTCCTCATGATGACAAACTGAGTAAAAGGAATAAGCCAGTCTGGAACAACAATGAGAAAGATCCGATCTCCTAAACCCACCTACTTAAACCAAAGAAGAGCCAACATGATGTGTCAACGATTAGAATCCCTTGCGGACTCATTTAATTTTGTTTCGTTTTTTTATTTCATGCGAACCGTCCTGATGTCTATTGTGCAGATCCCAGTATTTCCCACATACGATTCGTCTCCTCGCATCTACCATCCACTAAAGTCTTCCAACTTCCACCCATGGCTTCTGTTGCTTACGGATTTTCGTTTTGAAATGAATGTTATTGAATGCTAGTCTACTCGATACTCCCTGGAGTCCTGAGATAACCGGGTTAGAGTGCCCCCGCTTAAATTGTAGAGACTGAATTTTTCTCAGACAAGTCCGATACCAATTCCACGACCTCGGAGGGATGAGAGGCTTGGTTTGCCCGGAGCGGGATCGAATCAGCATCGTGCTGTCGTGACCCGCATCACTATCAATGTGCTATCAGCCCCCTAATGACCCCTTTAAGAAAAGCATACCAAAAAAACAGCAATTGCTAAAGAAACGTTGTATCTAACATTAAAGCTTTATTGTCGGTGAGACAAACCTGGTGTGGTTTGAGGAATTATCGGCTCTGGAAGTGGTTGACGAGGCCAGCTCGACACCGGCGTCACGTTAGGCGCGTAAGGACGAGCACCAGGAATTGGCCAATTTCCAAGATGCCCATCTGACGAAAAAGCAGCCACACGAGGCACCGTATTCTAAACCACACATGTTTTTTTCAGCTCTCATTTCTATTATAGCTATCTACATTTTGATAAATGCAAGATGATGTACATATTTGAATTCCCAATAAACTTCTGAAAGCTCCCGGTGTTGATCAATCTTTGAGGGAAGCGCCATGCATTCGACTTCACTAAGCATCGTTCGAGGTGATCGAATGCATATTTAGCCTTTACAGTGACTCGCTATGGCCTGCCGATGTATCGAGCCAGCGCTTTTATCCTCCCAAATAAGTCTGGTATCAATTTCCTGACCCCGGAACGATGGAAGGCTTGGTGAGCCTTCGGCGTTGGGATCGACACCCTTTGTACTGCAGGGTGCACCCGACCACTGCGGTACGCGTGCTCTTGAAATCTCACTACTCCAAAACAATATCTATAATATTGAATTCGATACATATAAAACTATAATATCTTAAAGAACTCTTGATAGCACGGTTGCGATTCACACAGAAGCTGGAGATCACGGCCAAAGCATTGTTGTCTCACTGCATTGAAAACCAAAATATAACACCATCGACTTTCTCTACGTTCCGCCTCCTCCTCGTTATATCCATTCGTCACTCTCCTCAGATTTCACTATTGCGCTCCCATTGCGACGGTTTTCTACATGTCACAAAAAAACAAGCTACCAACTCTACAGATGTTTTGTGAGAGCAGTTAAGGTTATAATCGACATTTAGGCATACAAATGCACTACAGTGTTAGGAAAACAGATCATTAAGTGTACTACGGATAAAAGCAATGCCTTCAAGTTGTGAGGGAACTGGAATCCGTTGAAATATCAACCACAGCCAGGATGAGAACTACTGCGTAGTATTTTTTCTAATTCACGTTTTCTTTTTGTATTCTTAATCAATGTTATACCTTTTTATTTTCTGCCTACTATAATTTCGCGGTAGGGTACTAAGCGAAATACAACCACAACGTCGCTGAGATATTTGCAAAACTCTGGACCGCAGGTGTCTATGGTGGGGAACGAACGCGCTATTGTCCTTTCCGGGGAGTAACGCGTTCACCACCACACCATGCGGGTCCTTTGTTTCGCCTGTCTCTCAGCTATTTCTGTCCATCTTTGCCACAGCAATCGCCCGTCAGCGGGACTGATATGGGGCGCCCAAATCGGCATAGAACCCAGTTAAGCTGCGACTGTAGATGAAATCGCAATGTTATACCTTTTTATTTTCTGCCTTCTATAATTTCGCGGCAGGATACTAAGCGAAATACAACCACAACGAAATACAAATCAATCCCGCTGACGGGTGATTGCTGTGGCAAAGATCGATAGAACTAGCTGAGAGACAAGCGAAACGAAGGACCCGCGTGGTGTGGTGGTGAACGCGTTACTCTCCGGAAAGGACAATAGCGCGTTCGTTCCCCACCATAGACACCTGCGGTACAGAGTTCTGCAAACATATCAGTATCATTGTGGTTGTATCAAACATAATACCCTGAAGAATTGCAATAAGCAGTAAATAAGAAGCTAACATTGTGAAGATAAAATGGCTTAAAAGATTTTATTATTCGGCATAAGAGTGATTTAAAAACTTCCACTCACACTTTTCACTGGTTCCGGATAAGTCCACATTCGATACGGTGACGGTGTTTTCTTCATTTCTGGTGGCACCGGATATCTCTGACTACTAGCGCCCGATGTACCAATGACAGGATGTCGTCTAATATCATAGTCGCTAAACGATCCAAAAACTGGAAGTAACTAATATATAGTGTTAATAGGATCTCATGTAGATCGAGTTAATCTCATTCACGATGACGAGTGAAAGGAACAGTTGTGTCGTAACTAGTAGTCTTCACCGTGACGACTTAATGGCAAATATGACGACCGCAAGCAAATCATGTGTCTGGATCAAATATCGAAGCGTACCTCCAGCACTATGGCAGCATCAATTGATCAAATTGAAGCATCAATTTACTGAAGAGTACAAGTGGGCTACTCACCTCGGCTGTTTTTTCTCGAATTTTGCGTCGGCCAGCTGGCAGACGAACAAGAATTGACGATCGGCAGTTGTTTGTGCGTCTTTTTCGATTTGCACATACACTTGATTTTCCATTTGATCGACCAACTTAATGATGAATAGTTTTGTGTAGCTCATACATCAATAGAGTCGCATCTAATTAAGTCTATAAATGATTGGGTCAAAATGAATTGTATGTACAACGTCATCATCACTTAACATGGTTTATCATCTCATCGTTGCAACGCAATGGTCTTGGTGGAAATCGAGCTGTCATGTGGAAGAGGTTGATTTATCGTATAAAATAAAAAGCTTACGGCATTCATCAATCTCTGAAGGATGTGCCATGCATTTGACTTCACTAAGCATCGTTTGGAAGTGATTGAATGCATATCCGTCCTTTGCAATGACTCGCGGTGGCCTAACGGTGTATCAAGCCAGTGCTGTTATCCTCCCAGACAAGTCTGGTACCAGTTTGTCGACCTCGGAAGGATGGAGATCTTAGCGGGCCATGGGCGTGGGGATCAATTCCAAGTGTGGGTTGCAGGGCGCCTTCGATCACTGCGCCACACGCACTCTTGATTTATCTTATAACCAGGTTAAATCATCAAATTTGCGGATTTCGGCAATTCAATGCGGAAACTTTAAGAGTGAACCAACGCCGAGAATTGACAAGGTCTAGGACGAAGTCTAATCGCAACCTGATTTCTTATGATGACGGTCAGTAAACTGTTCTAAGACAATGTTTAACGTTTTGTTTTCTGCCTTCTATAATTTTCATGGCAGGTTACTAAGCGAAATACAACCACAACGTTGCTGAAATATTTGCAAAACTCTGGACCGCAGGTGTCTATGGTGGGGAACGAACGCGCTATTATCCTTTCCGGGGAGTAACGCGTTCACCACCACACCACCTATTTCAGCAACGTTGTGGTTATATTTCACTTAGCAACCTGTCATAAAAATTATAGAAGGCAAAAAACAAAACGTTAAACATTGTGATTTCAACTACAGCCACAGCTTAACTGGGTTCTATGCCGATTTGGGCTCCCCAGATCAACCCCGCTGACGGGTGATTGCTGTGGCAAAAAGATCGGTAGAAATAACTGAGAGATAAGCGAAACGAAGGACCCGAATGGTGTGGTGGTGAACGCGTTACTCCCCGGAAAGGACAATAGCGCGTTCGTTCCCCAACATAGACACCTGCGGTCCAGAGTTTTGCAAATATCTCAGCGACGTTGTGGTTGTTCTAAGACAGTTGCTTATCTTGAGAAGCCAACTAAAAATGAACCAGCTCTAGCGGTAAAATACCGAATAACTAGAAATTGCGCTGAAACTCACATAATTGGTGACGGAAACTCCTCACCGCTAAGGCTATTTCCACCAACCTCACTAAACATCCTGTATGTGACTGAATGAATAATTGACTTATACAATAGCTTGTGGGGGACCTACTGTTGTATCCCTTGGGTGCTTCTGTCCCTTCAAGGAGGTCTGCATCAATTTCCCTAAAGACTGGGAAAATTGAGCTGATAGAAGATCATTTGCGTTACATGAGACTTAAAATCTGACTCTTCACATCGCTTTCTATCTCTCTTTGTTTTTAACTGAAAACCTCCCGAATTCATCCTGCTTTTACAAAGTGCGCACCATGAGTTTCCTCTCAACGGTGTACCGCCTCATCGTGGCTGGGAGATGTTCCTGGGCATCGGGCTGCAATGTACAGCGGGGCGATTCATCCCCTGGCAGGGTCTCCCAAGCAAGGAAAGAACCCGGTGTTTCCATCAGGAAGTCTAGCTAAGAGTAAACCAATATCAGGATCCACCACCATCTTGGTATTAAAGTTGCATGTTGGCAAATTTCCCTCTGATCCACAAGGGCTGTGGTGGTAAAGACATGTGGCAGACTTTGGCCAGGCTAACCTCAGGATTCCTGAGACCAGAATGGCTTAACCAGAAAATCGAAAAGTGGAGATTATGATGGGGTCTGCATATCAAGTAAGTAAGTAAAACTACTGAGTTGCTCCGAGCACTTTCTTTTTCTTGCTCTCCAAACGTCAAATAAGAATTTTGTCTTTGACATATTCCTCAAGCCATCATAGTCAGCCGTCTGCAGGTGTGAAAAGGTCTGAGAGAAAATTTAGCGAAATCGAATATGTGAAGAATCATCGATGGTTTTAAAGTGAATGACGACATCCACTTACCCATAGATCTGACACAAAAATCTCAAACTGAACGGTAAGGTAGAGAAATTTATGTCAACAATGCAGTACAAATAAATATACTTTACGTGTATTTTAATGTACGAGCACCTTACGCATTTTCATAAGTGGTCCTTCCTCTCATCAGCAGAACGACATCTCCCTCTTACGATGGAGTTAGTGCACGATAAACAGTGGCCGCGGTCAGATTTGCCATTGAGCTCGCTCTGACAATGGAATGGCCTCGGAATAGGCGGGATTTAAACCTCATTGAGTGTTCAACAATCCGTTAATCGTTGATCAAGGTCTGCGAAGAAATATGCGCACCAGACCTGCACTCAGTGTTCCTTCGTTTTGTGTATAGTTTGGTTTCGAACGAACTTGTATAGCAACCAGTGGAGGAGTTTTCGGACGCATTCACCATTTAGTGGATAGTAGAATGTCCATAGTTAGTTATCTATTATTTTAGAACCATTCTAATAAAATTTGCTTCTGCAAAACGCAATCATCCGTACCGTTACCGCCTACGGTAAGTGCTTGTGCAAAATGATCCATACCAACACCAAGGCAAATCATCACGGTCAAGGCCAACTGTACGTAGTCGGATAATTCGAATATCGAATTGGGGTCGCTATGATTTTTGTCCTTTGATTTAACGTTTTTCTTCGATAAGCAAATACGAGATTGATATCATAGAATTTATTGGCATGCAATAGTTGAGGTTTCGACGGTTTCGACTTCTTCACAGCCGTTTATTGGTTGCAAGCATTCCTTTGATTTTTCACAGGTTGAAAATAAGAGACAGTGATTCAATCAAAATCAGACGTTCTGGATTAATTCCAAGAATCCGAAAATGAACCACAATGAGGAATGCCTCATAGTTACGCATGATATTGGGCAGTATTTAAGACTGCTGTTTTGATGGGAGGGACACATTTCGCTTCCATGTGAACTCTGTGCGGTTGGTCTCCACGTGACACATTCAGTGGAAGACTCACAGAAAGCGGTGGGTGTGCGAGGAAGCTATTCTGTGTTCAATGTGATTGAAATCTTGGTTTGACATCTTCTCTGTTTGGTTATGAAGGTATTTGGCTGGGTAGATTGCTATCAACTTAACCCTTCCACGCTCTGAGGAGGGCAAAATCCGCCGAAAGCGTTAACTTTACCGTAATGAAGAATAAAATAACACCTCGTGTTTGCTCAACAACAAATTTTTGTTAGTTCCCATACAACAAACATTTCGCATGCAGAAAACGATCTTTTCGAAAAAGATAAACACATGCGATATCGAGGAAATCGTTGAGGAAGTCGTACGGTTATAACCAGTCGAACGATTTGCACCTCAATGTGATCCAAGGAAGAATTATGAAAACTGCTAAGGATATCAAATGAACTCCCTAAGGGCTCTGTTTATGCAGTCGTTGAAATGGTAATTCTTTCGGAGTTTTCATGTTTTTTCGTTTCTTTTTGGATTCTGGTACTTTCACTATGTTGTACATGAGGTTGTTAAACATTGACAATATTTTCTCTCTTGTTAATAAACAGTTTGACGTAGAGCGTATTCGAAAACTTAGAGGTGTTACGTTAGTATGCAGCTTATTCAGTAGGATATTTTCCATACCTCACATTCAGACTCAAGTCTTATTTTCGATTAAGTCGTTTTTACAATGTTAACTTTTTATTCACTTTTATTCTAACTTTGTTTTTATTAGGAAACGGATAGCACAGTGGCAGTGATGTCCGTCATCACTAGCATGATGCTAGTTCGATTTCGCTCCCGGCCAACCGAGCCCCTCATCTCTATAGAGAATTCGAAAGACCGACTTTCTATAAACCTCGGCATAGATAGTTGATATATTTATTTATGTGATTTTATAAACTGATCTTCCTAAGCTGACGCAAGGTTGGTACGGGTCTTCGTTTTCGTTGTTTTTGATGTTATTGATCGATGGCTGACGTCTCGGCAACTTCGCCTTCCTCAGAGCCGTGATGTTACGTGCGGGACGTGCGTACGGACATCAAAAACAACGACAACGACAACGAAGACCTGTACCAACCTCGAGTCAGCTTAAGAGGATTTATAGAGAATTATTCACAAAACTTTAATTATGAACGATTTCTCAGCAAAAACACGTCAATTTTGATTTGAAACCTCTTCTTTTTTATGATCTCTGAAATGAAGATGAACGTATTTAGTGCTACTATGAAGATAAACTTTAGTCCACTTCATTTTTCCACTTATTCAGTTTTCTAATGACTGCTGTCGATCCTGAAGTAGAACGAACATTGTGCCAATCAATCTATGGACAACGTTGCTAGCACATCCTTTGCTGAGCAACGCCAATTACCATTGCGCATTGAAACCCGGTCATGACCTCTGCATGGCGCCAAAAGCTGTGCGTTCTCTAATCTATTCAGCGTTTGATTGCCAATAACACAAATTATACACTACACCTCCAACTTTAATTCTTCTCCGAAGAAACATTTATCCGAGCAAAAAAGTCATGCGAGACTTAGTGAAACATAAAAGCGTTCGGCGTTAAGCAATCCGTTTCGGATGTGCCATGAGCCATCTTTCTGACTATATTAAGTATCGCATTGAATGCATATTTCTGCTACACAGTAACTTGCCATTGACTTCTGATATATCAAATCATCGTTGTCATGCACCCGGACGAGACTGGTGCCAAACCGTAGACCATGGAGGAAGGTATGGTTGATCATGTGGCATGGGATCGAAACGACGACCACGTGTGTATTGAAGGATGAGTTTATAAACTTCTGCACTATACACGCCCATCTCACATTTCAACTGCTGCTATACTACTGGTCTAAGACATTTATTCCCAATGACTCCCTTTAACTCGGGCCCGAAGTTTCCTAAGCAGTCAAAACAGTCATCAAGAGTCCTACTCGTAATTGCACGGCTATGAGGAAG